ATGTTTGATACCATTATTGTTGAAAGTCTGCAAGAAAAAGATAATGATTGGTAATGAATCTGATGAGAGCCAACTAATTATTAACAACAGTTTTAACAGTCAAGATTTTTTAAAGACTGTGTAAAAAAGACTATGGATATCGATTGTGACATTCAGAGCTGAACAAGCATTAAAGATAATCATTAGACTGATTGTTCGTGCCTATTGTCACTTTTCCTGTCATTGCTGCGGAAACAATCAAATTTAAACCCAAATGATCTTTAAAGTTTTTCGTTTTTTAAATTGGGTTAGAGTTATCTGGAAATTCACCTTTGCCTTCTCAAGTCAAAGTCAGTGCAACACAACCAGTATATACCAGATGAATATCAGCCACGGCCATCAGCTGGTGTTGTCCCATTTTCTGATAAGGTAATTGCAGTCAACAAGCTGAAGATTTGACGATGCCGATGTTTGCCTGATACGTCTCAGAATCCTTTATAGAAACTGCTAGTACTCTGTGCCTATGTTTTAATTCAATTATCCAATGTCTGGCCCTTTGATTACTTTTAATTAATTCTGGATCACCTAATGTAGAGCAATCTAAGCCATCCCTATCTACAGTATGAAGGTACTTACACATAACCGATAACAAATGTTGAACAGCCAAAGACAAAACGTAAAAAGTGATATAGAAGTTATTAAAAAGAAGGAATGATAGTTATTCTATAGACGTTTTCAGGCCAACGCTGAATAACAGTTATTTCTTATGGCTCCTTGTTAGGGACTCTGTACCTCTCTGTAAAGTGTTACTCAGAAAAGATACATGCCAGAGTAAGGTAGCGACGGCCGGTGGATTTGAGGCGAGAAGGATTATGGGGTTTTATCTCTTCAAAGAACCAGCTTCAAGTCCAGAGGAATGAAACAGTTTCTTTTGATTTGCACTGAAGTAACACATTCATGGCTTGGACCTTGAAACAACAGCGAGACTAATGAAGTGAGCCATATGCAAACCATGTGTTTTAATGGTCACGATAACTTGGTACATCTAGAAAGTCATGCCCCTGAAGGAAGCTCTATGAATTAAAAAAAAAAACACATGCTTTTCATGCTTTTTTTTGTGTTTCTTAAGGCCCAAAGAAAGAAAAGAGAAGGAAAGATATTTATTGCACTTAAACATATTTGATCTTATTTTTAAGTGTAGTGCCCATGTTGTGTCACTGAATAGACAGCACGGGTCTCTAAAGACGACTATGTATGGGGGAAAACAGCGTGCTGAGCTGTGGATTATTTCAGCATTGCCTCATGTCCTGTGCTCCTCTCAGCATGTCCTCCAGTCAGCTAAAAATCTAGCTCTATGTCAGCACTGAGATCGGATGGATGGTATTTGCATTTGCCTTGTGAAACTTTTCCAGTTGTAAGTAAAAACTTCATTTTGTCTTCTGCATTGAACTTCTTTCCCAATTAATCCTGAAACAGAAGAAAAAGATTTGTGGCGCAGATGAGAAAGGTTCCAGGTGATTGTTTCTGCTTGTTGTAATACGACTCGAATTTGAGTTCCGTGTTTGTGTCAAACTGCTGTATTCCACATCGAGGTATGTGTGCTTGGGAAATGACTTACGGTCAGCAGATAGTCCTGTTTGTCTGTTTTGTGGCAAGGCAGCAGTGGATGGGCCCCCGTGATAGAGCATGTGTTCACATAAAACATACATCATACACAGCAGCGGTAATACCTCCCATAAAATGTAGCAACGAGCACATGTTTCCCAAGCAGAAAATGCACCGTGAATGAATGAACAGGAAACTGTCAGATACCTTTGATCTTATTTTCTTTTGTGCATTTGTTAACCTGTATCTAAGACCACCTTTGCTCTGGTATAATAATTCTGCCACACCAGTGACTTAGTCTCCCGAAATAAGGTAATGCACCACTCCCCCGCCCCTATTTCAGCCCATAATTCTCTCTTCCTCTCTGATGTGCTGTGTATCAGTACCAGAGGTCATAAGCTTTGGACATGGCAAATGCCCCGGCTGGGCTGCCGTGCTGACTGAAGGGAAACGGGGCCTGACTTTGGGGCAAAGCGAAAGATCCAGGCCTGTCTTGTTTGTCTGCCGGTCCGTCTCACTGGCTACACTATAATGAGATTGCAGGGCTCTGTAAGGCGGATTTACTGGAGCACAACTCCCCCTAGGGCCTTTTCATAGAAATTGGTTCCTCCATATTTCACCCCTGCCTCACACTCTCTCCCTCGCCCTCTTTGTCAGACCAGTCTATCCTTCCTTCTCACACACTCTTGTTCCAAGTTTGGTTAATTCCGATATGCTTTTTTTTTGTGTGTGTGTGAGTAAAGATTGAAACCAGCTACAAAGCATAAAGCTCAGCCAAAGGGAAGATAAGCTGCCACAATCACAGAAAAAAAGGGATGAGGGACGTGGCCTGGGACATGGCACCAATACGACACCACAATTCCTCTCCACATTTACCTCCCCTTCAGGTTGGCTACGTTCATTTAGATGGCCCCTCTCGAGTCTGTGTGGAATCTCATGAAAACAAGAGAACTCATGAACACAACTAACAGTGTTGTCTGGGCTGGTGCTTATATGGTTCCATGTTGACTGACTCTAGGTCACCTCACTGCAAATTAAAAAGCCATGGTCATAAAGCCAAACTAAATCTTTATAGCGTGTGTGTTTGTGTGTGTGTGTGTGCGCAAAGCTGCCGCAGAGGCGAATTCTGGTATTTCGCATAATTAATGTTTACGCAAATGATAAGGTCTTGTATTCCAACCAGACCAGCTGTGCACACGGTGAATGAGGCCAATCCAAATGTGAGCCGAAAACTCACACCAGAGCGAACTTATTTTGGGAGCAGTAAGTCATTCACTCCACACTACAAAAGCCCCTCTGCAAGACCACCAATGAGGGCAAAAGTGGGACACAGTAATCATGCATGGAGCAGCTAACCCCTCTGACTTGCAAGTCGAGTCCCTGTGGTTAAAACAATTACGCTTTTCTGTCTTTTATAGCTGAAATGCAAACGTTTCATGTCTCTCAACCTAAAAGCCAGCGGAGGGTCAATTAAAAACAGTTGGTATTCTTCCGTCGCTGATCTTATCAACCTGTCATGCAAAATCTTCCATACACAGAGGATGCAGTTCAAACATCGGGCAGTTAAGATTGAGGTGAGAGGGGAGACAGGAAGCAGGGAACTCTTATCAGCCCACCATGGCAGGCTCAGGTTCAGGCTGTTAATGAACTTGAGGGAACTGATTACAGAGAACTTGCATTAGAAGCTGATAGGAGGCAGGCACTGGTCTCCCAGCAGAACCCTGTACCACCAGTAACCATTAACTCACGCCATTAGATCCAACCAGCTGGGTAAGCAAGCATGACCCGACTATTATCCTCCTAAAGTGTTCTTAGTACACCAAAGCGCCCTCTCCCTTTTCTGACATTCCGAACATTCATCAATGAGGAGCACACAAGACAAATGACCCTGAAAAAGCCACATTAAAAAGTCATAAAAGAGAATACCTTTAGGTTGCAAGAGCTCCTCAGTGAGAAGTGGTGGCCCTTATTTTTCTGCTGTCTAATGGTTTAAACTGGTGCAAGCAGGTGGGCCAGCATAGCAGGAGGACCTTTGCAATTCATGTCGTAATTCCCGGACTGCCAAATGGGCACGGAGGCCATCTGCCGACAGCAGAGAACTCTCTCTGTCCAACTTGTGAGCCAACCAGAAACTTCAAATGTGATTGACAGAGAGCAGCCCGGAGCTTAAATATCAAAATTCACGGCTCAACGTATAGTGACAGAACTTTAGACAAAACTGCTGAAACCCTTTGGATTAAGTCATATTTCTGTTTCTGTAAGATGACTTTTTATTCTCCTCTGAGCCCTGCATCAGCACTGACTCATTGGTTCAGTGCAGAGCTGACATTTTCATTGGCTTGACGATCACTTCTAGGGCAGGGTGTTGGCTCCTTTGAGGGTGGACCCGTGGACAGGCGCCCAGTGAGCGCTGGCCTCCTGTGGAACATTTGACAGCTCGTGATTGTGCCTGCCACTCACAAAAGGCATCCTGTCAGTCAGTATCTCGAGGCCTGGTGTCTCCATTGCATACATAGACTTATCAATGTACTGTGCATGGTTGCTGTTTGGACACATCCCTCACATGATCTTTATCTGTCCACATTTAGTTCCCAAGAGTCCTATAAGAAGCATTCCAATACACATATGAGCATCAACCGAGCATCTGCTAAGCTGCATAACTTTTATTTTTGGTGTTTAGAGTCCCCCAGAGTTATTGGCTCTTTCAGCCTTTAAGTCAAAGGGTATAGTTAGATGTAGTTTATCCATAAATACATATCAGAATTGGCAAGGTGTAAGCTCAGTAGAGCTGTGTAGCATTGTACTGTCTTTCAACCAGGTGAAGGGAGTCAAATATCTCACTAATGCACCACTAGATCCATATTCAAAGAATCACCACCCATACACATGCGCTATCCATAGCTCCAGCTTCCAGCAAACCCTTGTGACGCCTTTGACTAATTCCACTCAAGCCCACAGGGCTGTCCAGTCTCATCCAATAAATTAGCCTTGCTGTTATCCCGAATGCAGGCCTTGTCAGTGTGGTCGACACCAAAAAATTCCTCTCTTATAATTAATAGTCATTTTTAAGGCAATGTTGAGAGTTCTTTTTTTAACCAAAAATATGTGATTCGTATCTTTTCATTCCCTTATTCAACAATATTTGCAATATTTGTGGGTACAATTATGGTTAAACACATAAATCTACCCATAAATCGAACTTTAGATTTGTTCCTAATGGGACAGTGGCTGTGAATTTGCAGCATATCGGACAGTAACTCCCCAAAACTGATTCTTTTTATAAGATTCCATGAAAAAAACAATGTACCTCTCTGGGACCTCCAATGATAAACGCTATTTCCTGTAATCAGTATCTTGATTCTATCTCTTCAGCCCATCTTGATAAGCTGTATCGCAGCATTAGTAAGAATGGGATTCTGGGTCATATCTTTTGTTTTTGTTCTGCAATTTCATCTATCTACCTGGATTTTCTGCCTAACAGCAGAATCTGTCTCGTCTCATGCTCGGATCAAGTGTTCGCTCCCATATCAGTACCTGCTTCTTCATCTCCCTGTCTCTCCTCTCCCTCAGTTCTATTCAGCCTGCTGTCAGTGGGTGCCCAGACGGAGATGAAGAAGGTTGTTGGGGACAATGCCACCTTACCATGCCACCACCAGTTCCCATCATCCAGCCCTCTGGACATCGAGTGGCTCCTCCAGAAACCAAATTCCAAACAGAAAGTGGTAAGATTCCCTTTTACTGCATAAAGTAAGCCTGTGTTCAAAATGTAGCAACTTTTTCTATTCTCTCTCCTCTGCATCTGTCTTTTTTTATTATTTATCTATTTTGTATCCCACCTCTCTTTGTGCCATAGTGACTTTTTCTACAGGAGCCATAATAACTGCATGTTAACTAAAGTAACAAAAATACAGAAACACTTACCTACTAAAATAATGCAGCATCATTTTCTTTTTCATACAATATTTGTAACTTTGGAACGCATATCCTTACCTTAACATTTGGGAAAAACACAATTGCTACACAATTTTTAATGGTTTATTCCATTGTATGGTCAAATGCTCAGTGCTTGGAAATAGGGGTATCTAATTAGCACATCGTTTGAGACCAGTAACAGGCAGAAACAGAAAACAGCTAGTAGGTCGAGCAGGACTGCTGCTGTCTTTCTCCCTAAAACAATCTCAGAAAAGACTTCATGAAACATGTTTTAGCGGAATAAAAACCATGTGTCTTCACTAAAAACTAGCTCCATAACGGCACTGGGCAATAAGCCAGTGTTAGCATGGCCAAACCCCTATTACCACATAGTCCACACCCATCTTTTGATACACTGTGGCCTGAAAAGATTTTCAAATAGCTTCATATCATTCTGTCAGCTGGAAAGTGGACATTCTTTATACACTCAGCTGAGGATAATGGCTGTGTTCTCCAAGCTTTGGTTTAATGCACAAGGAAATTTTCCCAGTGCTCATTCATGGTATTGCAAGCATAAATTCCTCTTCAGCACATCAATTCTAACCATCTGTAAATAAGAATGAGTTTTAACAGTTTCTGTTGTCTAAGTAAAGAGTTGTTGAACATTCAAAATCTCTGCATTTGTAACTATAATATATAGTCAATTGCATTTTTAAGTTTGCATGCTGTACATGAACTCATATGAAAGTCTATCATCGGTGATTAATGTTGCCCACGTGTTGAAGTCATGTGACACATGAGGTAAAAACCCATTCATAACAAAAATCACTGATTTGTAAATATTTATTTTAAGATTAATCAAAAGAAAAAAAATTATGAGTTTGTCAGAAATGTTGAACCAAAGATGATAGATAATGCAATTTGTTCCCATTTGTTTGCCGGTCAACCCAAAGAAAAGAAACGTGTAGTTTATCTAACCTTCATAATATGATCGGATTGTGCTGCTGATCTGAGATTTTATTCCGTTTGGTGCCTCACAGACTTTGTTGGAATTTTCTGTCATTTTAGTGACTTTTAATCATAGCTTTGTACTCTGAAATCAAATTGTTTTATCTGACAACAGAGTTGAAAGCCTCACTAATTTCAAGAGGGAAAATGAATCAGTGCTCTTTCTTCTTTACTTCAGTGTTGTGAGTTGGCAGAAGAAGAAATGAAAAACTATGGGGGGAAAAAAGGACGAATGGTAGAGTGCGTAGAGGAGACAGAGGGGCAGGGAAAAAAAGGAAAACAAGTGTCTTCTGCTTTGATGATTTCGAACACGTTGCGATGAATATTTAAAGGGAAGATAACATCGAAAGGCGCGATTAATTAAAATCAAATGTCTGAAAATTTGATTAGGAAAGAGACTTTGCCTGTAGCTAAATGAATAAATCATTCTTTTGTTCTGCTGGAAGGCCGTTTTTGGAGGGATTGGGCCTCGTGTCAACATTTAGCCACTTTTAGTAAATCTGCAGACAACATGTGCTAAAGAGATAGAGGGTATACGACAGGACACTGGATGGCGGACAACCACAAAAGCACAAATTCATCTATAGTTCTGCAAAATTCAAATTAAAAACCTCCCCTGTGGTGCACTGTGCTGATCATCTAACACAATTTTAGCTTACTGCTGTATGCCGTGCATTCAATGCCTAATTGCTTCCTTTCCATCACATCATTTTTAGCATATTTTATAGGTATTTGTTATCGGAAGGAATCATTTTCACACACTGAGCTGAAAATAATTAATCAAACTGAAATGACAGCCAGGGCTCTGTTTCTTTCTTTGTATCTAATGATTTACAGTTCTGCTGCCTGTGTAAAAGTGCCATACACAGCCATGCACACAGGAAATTGTCGTCTTTCTTCGATAAAATCTGTGAAGCTGTCATTCACAAAATAATGACTATGATCATAATTAGGCTAATGCTTCTAGTCTTGATTATCAGCCTCATTCTGCTGACAGATTTCCCTAATATAATTTTTTGAATATATGAGAAAGACACTTAATATTCTGCTCACGTACACAAAAAAAGACATTATCTAATCTTTGATTGGTGGTATTAAGGTGCGTTTGAAAAAGTACTCTTGGGAACTTCAGAATGTGAGACACTCAGATAGTGCAGTGTCTAGCAGATTACAGTTCCAAAATTACGGCCTAAAAACCATTGTGTCTTTATTTTTTATTTGGTTCCTTCATTTTAACTGCTCATATGTTTTTAAGTCATTTTAGCTAGTCAGAGCTAAGCCACAGGGTTGGCAAGTCACGAAAATTCAAATAGAATTTAAAAATGTTTGTAAAGGATTCATTTTGAGTCAAAGGGGCTCTTGTTTGAAGGGTTGGTAGCATGGACATTTTTGCCCTAAGGGCAAATGTTGACATCATTGATCTGTTATAAGATTATTTTGAGACAGCAAGCACGCTACAGTAGCCCATGGCAAATCATTTATTTCTTTGTATCTGCTGTAGTTTCTATAAACAGCTTTTTCTGTGAATTGTATTTATTTTTTCTCTAAATATCTGTCTATACTGGTCTGGATGCTATTCTGCTAGGGGGGAGTAAAAGACCAAAGCAGTAACTATACTGTGAAATGACGAGGGAATTTGAAGCATTTATTTCCTTGATCAACTTAAAGAATGTGAAGTCACCAGTAGATAAAATGAGGTGCTCAGAGCCCTGAGGAGGAGAGTTTCCAAAGTTTCCAGGCTGCAGACTGTTTTAAGTTGCTAGTACAGGTGAACACAAATATTTTTTCTCAACCACCTAACACGACAAAAAATGTGTTCAGCACATTCGCAGTCCAAAAATCCAGACTTTGAAATGTTAACTAAAAATTATTTTAAAAAAGAAAAGAAAATCAACTCCATTTTATGTAGGAGACTGAGACGAGACAGAATAAAAAAATTAATTTCTTCAGCTCCAGATGTATAAGCTTATTCTGGAACCACAAGTAAGACCTATAAACCGAAGTGTAAAATATTCAGGCTTTCAAATGTTGTTCCGTTCATCAGTATCAATAGTAGAGTGAGTGTGTGTGAATGCTAAGAGAATTCAGATTTTCTCCTCAAGAGCTATCACATCAATAGATTTTTAAAGACAACGATCAGCTGTGACAGCCAATCCCAACTGGCTCACCAACCACATCATCCGCTCGTTGACATAAATGTCAATGATCAGTTCAATTTATCTTATGAATAAAGACTAATTCTATTCAGTTCTTGTCACTCATGGAGATCTGTTACGATCCCTTTCAGGTTGAGCTAAAAATACAACTTTGCAGTATTACATGGCTGAATGCTCATATTCTTGATAGAAACTCTAGTCTGTAATCTCCCCATTAAACCCTAACCATCCTCTCTTTATCAAAATCCTTTCATTGATATCCATCACATCATCTTTTTTAAAGCATGAAGACATAATAATGCAGTCTTAGCTCAACTTCTTTTTTTATTTTTAATTCCCAAAACATAGGAGGACTGATTAAAAGTCTCCCTGCAGTACTTTTAGTTTTCACTCAATAAACAACCCACCTCATTTCAATTGCAAATTATCCAAAGAGCCTTTGGTCATTTTGCTAATTCTCCTTAAATTCTTTGCTCTCATCAACACTTCCAGTAAATTTCTGCCAGTGACATAAGTGTGTGTGCCGAGTTCACACAGACATAGCCAGAGGTATAAGTACACATAGTCATGTGTTGTCATCTGCACTCACATATCAGTGAGTAATAAATGTTCGGAGTTCGTAAAGCAGCAGAATTGTGCCCGTGGCGAGAAACTTTAAAAATATACCTACTTTGTTTGGGGAGCCAGGGCTGTGTCACGTGGCGCCTGTAGCTTTGGCACAGTGATGTAGGTCGGTTTGCCTTCGCGGTGTGCTCACTTAGGAGCTGGTTTGTGTGTGTGTGTGTGTGTGTGAAGGTCCTGGTGCATGCATGTGTAAGCGGCCAGTCGTCACCTGTGATCCCAGCAGGTGCCCCTGTATCTTAGGCACTGATGTGCTGTGGCACCGGCATTTAGCAGTCCCCATCTGCAGGCTCTCGCTTGCCCTGAGTAATAGGCCACTGTGACAGCTGTGTTTGTATGTGTACGTTGGATGGAGGGAGGGAGAGAAACAGAGAGAAGCGCAGTGGGATAGCACAAAACTTAGCAAAGACATAAAAGCTCTCGAATTTACAAGTGTTACACACCTACAAGGCAATTTTAGATCCGTCCAGTGATGATGATCTCACAATCTAAAATGCATCAAATTAGAAAATCTCATTCATCAGCATTTCCAGCAGGATGAACATTTTACTTTTCATTTGTAACCTTTCAGGGGCCAAAAACAAGAAAAACATTGGGACTCGAATTGACAGCTTTTAGATGGCTTGTCTGGTCTATGCTTTTTGGTAATTAAAATTCAAAAGCTTTTTAAACACTTGGACTCCTCCAGCTCTTTTCCGCAGAGCGAACCGCAGACCACTCTCAGCGGCTGCCTGTGAAGCAGGGCGCTTCAGCGTGAAAGCGAGGTGAAATGGCAATTAAATGGAAAGGTCGAGGTCAGGTTTGGGTCTCCGGGACGTAATAGTGGAGGGGCGCTGCTTTTAGAAATTTGCCAGGAAAGCAAATCAAAACTCCACATTGACTGCAAAAGACCTTCATGGAAGATTTATCGGAGTCTGAAGTGGTGAAGCGCTTCTCAATAGTGCAGCAACACCTGCACAACCATGTATGCCATAGAGGAGTAATCAGAAGAATGCTTTTTTCAGTGTCCTCGCCATAAAATCCAACCTCAGAAGATGAACATCTAAAAAAAAGCTTAACATATTAAAGAAGCTGTAAAGCTTTTAACAGTGAGCAAATGTACTTTTATGGGTCATTAATAAAAGGATGCAGAATTACCTGAAAAGACCACCATTTTACGGGTTGTGCTTCGGACCTGTTGCAGCCAGGTCTGAAGCGATGAGAAGAGGCACTTGACCTAAGAAGAAGAAACAGGAGGTATCCTAAAGAACAGTTTCATAATTCAAAAGATCAATGACCTAAATGCTGAATATGTGAATAGACTTCAGAGGAAAGCCCACGCGGATTCAAACAGGTTCAAGTCCCTTTGACTTTCACCTATTGAAAGTTTTATTGTGAGACGGTGCCGCTAGACAAGAAGCCAAATTCCAACTTGTTTGGAAACATAAGGTTTCGACAGTTTTTTATTTAGCACTAACAGCACATTAGTCCCAGCCTAAAGTCATTTTAGATAAGCACCAGAGAATAGTGCCTTTGTTTTTTGTTTTCTGCTTGAGTTTGACAACTCAAATAGTATCTATCATTGCTCACACATAATCAGCTAAGTGTATGGCATTCCAGCAGATTCATTCATTGGCAAAAAAAAATATTTCCCAAGTGTTAACTATAACGGTACTGTTAGCATTGTTACTCATACTGTTGAGTCTGGGATTCTTCAGTGTGCAGCCAGTGAGGGACCCTGTGGATATGCCTTAGCTCTGCATCGTTAGAGTTATGTAACTTGAAATGTTATTGGCAGTCTACCAGTGAAACATATCAGGAGTATTACTGTTGAGACATAGAAATTAAACTGAGCAAATGCCCCGTGAAGCGATATGAAATTTTTATTTGGGGAATAGCGTGCATTAATAAGACTAGTACAAGAATCCCAAATGTGAACGGAAGGCCCAAGATAGAATCGAAGGATTGTTTAAGACAGAGGAAAAAGCTGCAGGGATCCAACACACGCGAGAATGAGAAGTTTCACCACATGTTTCTCCGAAGAAAAACAAAGAATCTGATTCTTTTCTTTTTCCCCATTTACTGCAGATCATCACCTTCTTCGGGGGCCAGGTGTACACGGAGGTTACGGGCAGCGAGGCCAATCGTCTGTCCTTTGCTGGGGAGTACCTGGGCGGAGACGCCTCCCTGCTGATCAGTGACCTGCTGCTGACCGACTCTGGGGAGTACTATTGTAAAGTTAAAACTGGGGGAAAGTACCACTGGAGCCAGGTCAACCTCATTGTGCTCGGTGAGCATTTCCAGACACACGAGCGTACACTTCGGTGCGCGCGAGCGTTGCGGAATCCGCACACATGCCATCGGGTTACAAAGAAACCCATTATGTCAAGGAAAAGGGGGAGAAAAAAAAAACTCACACACGTACACATGCAGCCCTAATCAAAAGATCATTAGCCCGGCACATTTCCTCCGTTTTTGCTGACTGATCTAATGATTCAATTTGATTCAGACGGTGTGATTTGATTTTTCTTATGCTGTTTGGGTTCGTCTGGATTGGTTTGTTGATGAGGTGAGACCAGAAACATGCAAGTGGGTTGGTGAGGGTACATAAGTGATTGATGAGGTGAGGGACTGTGTAGAATAGCAAATATCAAGTTGGATAACAGGCCTTTTCCCTGGGTTAAATGTTGATTGTGTGCAGTCGTACCTATGAGTTGAAAATGCCATTAAAAAAGTAAACTGTAAACAAATTGGCAAAAAAAAGAGCTGCCAGAGATCTAATTTGCACCCGTCAGGCTTGCAAAAATCTGCTTTGTTTCGCCTTCCAAATAACAAAGTGGCGGTGTGCTTCATGCCTGTCTTTGTTTCCTTCTCTTTTTTTCTCGTTTGTCTAATAAAGCAGATGGCTATAAATAGCTTTATGCTAGTCCAGCGTGTGTCTCTGCCACGCATCAAAAATAGCTTTACGGCTTTGAAGGACAGTCAGAGAAAAGACGAGCGGCTGCCCTGCAAGAGCCAGACACAGAGTCCAGCGAGAGGAGCAAGATCATTCTTAATGTCAGAAAAGTGGGCGATTTATTAAAACCTCAAGGGAGATTAGTTCAACCAGCAGTTATTGGTTTTCTAATGGAACTGTCCGTTAATCCTCTTGCTCTCACTCTCATCTCGCTTCCATAAAGACATTGCAGTGAGTTAGAGCCTCAGTTTTATTTTTCGGAAATTGCCTTCAGCTTTGCTGTGACACTTTCGATTTTGAGAGAGACGGACATTTGCATTTTTCACTCGCTCCCCACGCTAAGATAATAGCCTGGCAGCTGAAGCTGGTTGTAGCTTTGGCGAGGGACAGCGGATGCGAGTGGATTCATTTGTGAGGGTGCCAGAGGTTGTGTGTGTCACGTTGTTGTGTGAGCCTGCATGTTCATCCTTGGGTGTGGATTTGCATGGGCAGATTTGTGAATGCACCCGTGCATGTGTTGTGTTTGTGTGGGTAACTGTATCGTCGGTGTGAGTTAAGTGCTGAATGCGAGCTCACCGGTTAGGCCTTATGGACCCAGACGGAGCTTGGAGATGCACAGATGAGGCATTTCCTCCATCAGCTGTTCTCACAGCATTTCACACAAAGTGGACGAACAGAAGGCTCTCTGCCTCCGGCGCACTCACAATATGTTCACATGTCCGGGTTACATGTAGAGAAACACAAGCAGAAAAATCTAACATGCGGGAGGCAACCTGCTAATGTGACAGAATAGAAATTTAGCACATTGCTCATCTAAGAAGATGTCACTTGATACTTTAAGGAAACCGTGCTCTGTTTTCTTTTTATAGCACATAACAGTGCCTCTCAGCAAGTGTCTGAGCCGAGCAGCTGTGCAGATCTCAGCAGACTCTAGCTATACTGTACACTGCCTCCAGCCGTCAGAGACCATAACTAAACCTTTGACCAGGGGAGGAAATGTTACAGTGCAGCATTCATCGCATGTTTTTCGAGGTCATACCATCACAGTGAAAAAACTGTGGTTGGAATTCATGTATTACCATTTCAGTTACATGAAATGTTATTATCTTGCCATCTTTTCATAGGGTTAAGGTTAGAGAGTTTTGTTCTATAAATGTTTTTTTTTTTTATTTCAATAGTACCACAGATTACTATTATCATAATTGTTTTTATTATTAGTAGTAGTAGTAGTAGTAGTGGTGGTATTCACAAAAGTACAATACATTTTGTTCCAAAACAGATTTATTATTAACACAATTTCTGCATTTGAACATATAAGTCTCTTTTGAACTGAATCAACTATTTTTCTGCATATATTTCCAAACTTTATAATAACATTACCATTTGGATTATTACAAAAAAATCTGTAAAAAAAAAAAATGTAATGCTACAATGTAAATTTCAAGATTTAATGCAGAATTCTGATATGTGGACAGGTTCCAGTGCAATGAGTAAGGATGTTTCTTACAGGACAAATTTGGATTCAACTCTGTCTCATATGTTTTACAGTCAAGCCGTCCAAGCCAAGATGCTGGATGGATGGGAAACTTGTAGAGGGCAGTGATGTCAAGCTGAGCTGTAAATCCAGCGATGGTTCAGACCCCATTAGCTACAAGTGGGAGCGAGTGCTGGACAAAGGCAAGAGTCTGGGCAAGCTGCCAAACCTGGCACTCATAGGTAAGAAAAAGTAATTGGCAACTGGATGATATTTTACTTGCTGATTCTCAAGTCAAGAGCCCTCTGCAGAGAAATGCAATGGAAATTGATATCTTATACATATATATACATATATATATGTCTGTTTGTTTTTTCTTGTTTTTTTAACTGTATTAACTTAGTTTGTTCTAGGAAGGTTTTGCTGAGCCTCCCGTCTGTCTCACCTTCTCTCATCTTCACATCCATACATTTTTCAAACACCGACCCTAAATCTGCCGAGCTGATCGACATTCCGCAGCTCCAGATTCATGAACTGCTTCACTGGGATGAATAAAAGTTGCAACCACTGGCTCAGAGTTGACTTTTTTTCTTTTAATTCCGTGATTCTTTATGCTTCTAACATGTTTAGACTACAGCGTTTTCTCCATATTTGAGCAATAAGACTGAGAACGAAGGATTGTTCAGTATGTATCTACAGATTTAGTCATACTTTTTTCCCAGAAAATCAAACGGAGCACAATCTTGTTATTTCTGGTTTTACTCTGTTGGAATGACTTCTGTATAAACACAAAGATTCAGGCTGACACAGGGGACTAATGAATTGGAAATGTCAGTACGGCTCAAGTGAATAACACATTGGAAAGGGTTTTGGCCCAAGTTCAATACCAAAAAGGGAAAAAGTCCATTGTAGCCCAAAGGCACACTTCAGTCTTACTTTGTGGATTCTGGCAAGTGTCTCGGATCATAAACAAGCAAATCTGCCTCTAAATTAGTAACAGAGTCAGTTTATAGCAGAGATGCTAATGATAGGGCAGTACTCCCCATTGTGTATTCTTCAAACTGGCAGAAACCACCTTAGGGTGCCGGCTTCTCTGGCTCAGCTTTCCCTCCAGTGCTCAACTGGCATCCATGATGGCACGGGTCCAGATATAAAAAGCAAAAACAAACAAAGAAATTCCTTCCAATTTATGACGTTTGCCAAACAACACCTGCTCAGTCTAATTAGTTTGCATTGGACGATAACACGCTGCGTCAGCACCCATTATTTATGGCTTTTGTGTGAGGTAATATCACATGGTTGTCAGTGATAAAGATGACTTAATATATCACAGGGCTCCTCTTCTCCTCAGACATGCTCCTGCCTCTCCCCCCGAGGCCTCCCCCGGGTGGGGGGCATTACTCAGAAACAACCCTCATGTCTGTTTGTTTTTTTATCATTGAAATAAAAAATAAACACTTGTTTTTATTCAACAGATCTCAAAAACCCAGAGATTGTAACCCTGAGGAACCTCACCATGGACAGCACAGGTGTCTACAGGTGCACGGCGAGCAATGACGTGGGAGAGGAAAACTGCACCATCGAGGTCACAATGCAGCGTGAGTTGGGGGAGGGAGGGGGGGGGGGTGTGTGACCTCACTGTGTTCACCTCACACCGAATGGCAACACTGATTGATGGTTATTGTTTCAAACTGCAGCTGCCTTTCCCACAACGTCCTCTTGCCCTCCTCATTCTCCAGCCTGTGCTTCGACATCAGATTGCAGTAAAGTGAAAGCGGGGGCGGCTGGTAACCAGCCCGCCCCAGACGCCATGCTTCACTGTCACACTAATACATTCCCCGAGAGTCCCAGGACAGGGTCATGTGTGGGGAAAACAACAGATCTAGCAGCTCAGCAGAAAACAGTTTTCCAGCTCCGGTGTGAAATTGAATGTGGATAATGGGGTGCAAAAGTAAAGACAGACATCTTCTCCAGTGAATGGGATTTTATTCATTTAAAACTAAGGGTGCAAACTGTGAAAACCGTTGCTCCTGGACAGTGTGTGAATCCATCTGTCATTCCTTTTCTTGCCCTCAGATGTGAGAGATGTGGGGATGGTGGCAGGTGCAGTTGTGGGAATATCTCTCGGTGTCCTCAAAGTCATATTAATCATTTGGCTCGTATTCCGGAAGAAAGAGAAGAAGAAGTACGAGGAGGAGGAGACCCCAAACGAAATCAGGTTCGGTTATTTATTTTCTTTTTTTACTTTACTTTAATGTAAATGTGACACTCTCAAATCCCTAAAATCGGAATTGTAAACATGTTTCTTTGTACATGTGTGTGTTTGTACTGTGGGTCATGTGTTTAGCTCTCAGCTGCTGTTGCCCAGCAGTGTGTATAAAGACAGGTTCAATACATAAATTATTGCACTGTAACTATGAAAAAAAGCTGAATGTGGCTCTTTTAAAGCACAAGATAAGATAAATATCAGCAGTTTGATCTCACACTTTCAAGATCATATAAGATTATGTATAAGAGGCATGTTGAACCAGACCTCCAACACTATACATTACAGTGTAATGATAGAGTTATACAGGCCATTTCATAAGGAGCAACATTTTTTACAAAAAGCTATTCTCAGTTTCTCTGCAAGCTAACCATTATAAGTATTTTTATTGATGTATCGCGTACAAGCAAAGTTTGATTTTAAAATGGTGTTAAATTGTAAAATGTGGTACAGGAAAGATGTCTAGACTTGTGGATGTTGGCTCTCATCCCCCGTCTTATTAGGTCTGAATAATAAATACCGGTAATAAACAAAAAATGACTCGATGGGAATTATACTGCAGGCATTTTCTGGTTGAGAGCTGTTGTGACATGTCTTTATATCAGACTGACTCCCAATGTTTTTGTCCGTGCCCATACGTTTGACTCAGAAACAGTGGAAGAAAAGGGCAACTCCACTTATAACAACCCGACACATTACATCCACCCCTTCAGCCCTCTTTTGAAGGAAAGTCATTCGGCGTTCGGTGTAGCTGCCGTTCTACATACATGTAGCACAAGCTCGCTTCGACAGACTGAGCTTTAGTGTTGATGGCACCTCTGCGTTAACCTTGGTGTGTAGCCACTAAATCACAGGTTCAGCTCAAACACTTCACCACTGCCAAGCAAGTCCAGTGTTAACTGACACAGTGACAGCCGCATTTTTTCACATCCTTGCCCGTTCACCTGTTGTCCTTGACATGAAAAAAACTCATGTCAAGTGTTCCTCATTAACCTTTCAGGAGCCTTTTTTCTTTGATTTCATTTACACGCGTGTGGCCGCCAAAAGATCGCAATACTCCGTAATTGGTATGCAAGGGTGATTTTCTAATGAGACTTGTGAGTGCGGCAGAGTCAGTGTTTATTTACTTAATCATTTATTCATTCTTTTTTTTTTGCGATAGACTAAAGTTGTGTCGGTGCGTATTTGCTGCTGTAGTAATGAATAATGCAGTGTAGTTGAAGGACAAGTTTAAGTAAATAATGCAGATGCGATGACGTTTTTGTCTGTTTTCAGACAGCGTTGTCACAGCTGGACCCGTGCCCCTAATGTGCTTTTCCAGAGCTCTTGGGTATATAATAGATCCAAAAAGTGTCAAATTTCTTTCTCAAAAAAGTTACCGAAGCTTTTCATGTCTGCCTAAGAGGATACCATGCAGCGGCAGGGCACACAAGAGAGGCTTCTATTTCTGACTTTCTGCAAAGATACCATGTCATTCAAGCAGCAAACCAAGAAAACATCAGGGCGTAATTGACCACAGTTTTGGTGTTTTAATGTCACTGTCTTTCATTCTCTTTTAAGCTGTAAATGCCCTTTGGGTTCAGTTCTTTTTGAGCCTTTGAGAAAACTTTTTCTCCTGTCATTGAAAAAACTCAGGCAAAAGTAGAAATAGAGAGGAAAGTTTTCATTGCGTTTCCCCCCCCCCCCCTCCAACAATTGTGTCTGAGGAACTAGTGATTTCAGCAGATTTCATTATTCCATGCAAATGTGCTTCACAAAACTCGGGGGTTGGGGGATATCTCATGAATTACATGAGACTCCAACCTAATACTAGTCCCTAGTGACGCAAGCCTTGGAATGGTATGAGCGAACTGCACAGTGGTGTTCTGCTTTGCAATTCATTTTTGCAGGGATCTATTCTGAGAGGCACTCTTCATACAGAATAAACGTTGTTATGTTTACTTGCTTTGTCTCCAACTACAGAGAGGACGCTGAGGCTCCCAAGGCCAAGCTTGTGAAGCCGAACTCCCTGTCCTCGTCTCGCTCTGGCAGCTCGCGCTCCGGCGCCTCCTCCACACAGTCCATGGTGCACAACAGCGCCCAGCGTGGTCACCGCCCCCGCCCGCCGGCTGTAGCTGCTCTCAAGGAAAATGGACAGCCTCCAGGCTTCCCCCAGTCCCCTCCAGCCTACACTGCAGTGGTGCCCCCCAAGACCCCCGAGCCCCCCGCCACTCCCAAATACAACTCCAGGAACATGTCCGGACCCACACCCCCGACTCTTATGGTCCCTGCCCAGACCAAGGCCTTTCAGACTGTGTAGGACTGAAAGCCGACCCGTTCCTGCAGCCATGTGAAACCACCCATCCCTTCCCAAGCCCCCTTTATCCCCCTCCACAAGACAAAAACTCTTCCATAAACAAAGAAATGCAACTAGTTAAAAGGATGTAATTAAAAGAATCAATACTATAAGTCCAAAAGTACTTTTAATGAATGCATACTTAAAAAGGGAAAATAAGACATGCTTGCCCCCTACTGAATTGCATAAAAACAACAAAACTAAAGCAAAAGCAGATACCTGAGATGCAGCACTGTTTGTGTCTCATGGCTGAAGGCAGAACTTCTTTTTTGAGTTCCTTGTTTTGGCTTTGGAAGACACAGAGAAGCACCGTGTGCATTGAGGTGGAAGACTCCCCCTAGTAGAGCCTTTATTTATTTATCAAACCAAGTGGTTAGCCAGGCTGTAGGAAGAAGAAGTGAGAAAAGGAAAACGGTAAAGTATGGACAGCAAAGTAAACCCAACTCGATAAAGTCACACCTCTTTTTACCATTGCTTGTTTAAGATGGATATGAGCATGGTGCACGTGGGTAGAATGAGAGCGAAACGACGGCTCCCAAATTTGAATTCTCATTTTCTAATTGGAGGACGGCAGCGCGTGGTGACTCTTGTGATTCACGTCGCTCAGCACTTCCGTTTGGATGCTTGCTCTAAAAACCACAAAGCGCTTCGCCTCCCACGGGCTGGGGCTACTGTGCCCATCCATGTGGACAGACGCAGGGCGCGGCATGTGCATCATCTGCCTCAGTGCTCTCTGTCTTTTGTGCTTTCACAAGGAACCCAAGAGAAACCGTGGCAGTCCTGAGACTGACTCAGCAAGCTCACAAAAAGCTCCTCTGCAGGGGAAACTTCAGGTACAAGGATGTAGCACTGACAGCAGAGTCAAATCAGTGGAGCTCTTAGCCTCCCGCCCACGGCCTGTCTACTTCTATGGACCTCCTTCTCTCTGGTACCAAATATCCTCCCTGAGTAATTAACTAGTATTTATTAGGCCTATAGTGATACTTTAAATATAGAGGTAAGCTTGTAATAGACCAGCTGGGCTTTCCTTTCTTCAGTCTGTGTTATCCTGTGTCTCTTCTCCCTGAGCAGGTTGTAAAGAGTGACAGACAGCCATGTGTCCAATCATCCATGTTAAGAAGTGCCACCAATCCCCTGGACGGGTTATTATTGTTGCTTTTTATATCTTTTGTTTGCCTGCTACATTTCTGAACTGAAGCCAAAATCTGTCACAATGAATGTGTGATGTACAAAGACGGTGGATTCCATAACTTTTCAGCCTACCACAAGGTACTGAAACAAGCTAAGGCACAAGAAATTGACCGCGACGCTCAATTTTTACAACGCTCTGTCTGAATGAGGGGAAGCGGGGAGTACGTTTCCTGAGAATTTAGTTATTTAGGGCTTGTATGCCATCATTGTCAACACTTTCCTTGAATTCATTACTGCGGTGTGCCACTTGATTGCTGTTTCACCAGATCACTTGCTTGGTTAATGGTCAAGCCATGTTAACAGCCACGACCCCCTTATGTGGCATCCTCAAACTAAACCATTTGCAGATTGATTGAAAGTAGCTGAAAAAAGGGGCAAGTAGCCTATATAGTGTGCCTTTGCAATCCCTCTTCCTTTTGATGGTTTCTTTCTTTGTCCTTCTCTTCAGCACACCAATATTTAGGTCTCAGTTCACATATAACAGTTGGTCCAACAGCAGGAAATACCTAGAGATTCCGCAACCTGCTGTAGGAGAACTCGATTTTGGCAAGGGAACCCCAAGCAGAGTGAATGGTGAGAAAGCAATCCTATGCCACAGGACAATGTACTGTACATTATGTAATCAGTCTTGTTTTATATTGTACATACAGATAGATATATGCACATGATGTCATTTAATTTAATGATAAGGGTATGTGAGGGGAGAGCTCCCCCATTATAAAAAAAAGGGTCAAGTGAGAACCCCAAAGTGGATTTAAACCATGTGCTTTTTTTCCATGTAAAGCATATACTGTTATATACCATACTCTTCTCCAAATGCCTATTTCAGTGTCACAAACAATTTACATGATGGAAGGTGCAAGTGTAGGGATAAAAAGAATGATCGAACTGGGTAAAATCCCACGAAATATATGGTTTCACAGGGTTATTACCCTCTAGAAGTTTTTATTTCCTTTGGTATACGTGATTCTTTTGTTGGTTTTGCTTATATCTACCCCTCCATCAGAGCCAAGGTATCTTTTGAAAGTGATGTCAGACATGAAAATTATATTTTTTTCCGCAATTTGAACAACAGGTTCAAAATGTTGTCTGCAAACCCTCTTATTTTTGGACAAGGTACTGATGGGTGATAAATTAAAGGAAAAAAGAATTAAAGGAAACATTGCTCTGCACGTTGCAGAGCAATGTTTTGGTCTTATTAACCCCTGAGAGCTCGCATTGGCTAAATACGGTCCAGAGAGCACAAGAGAAGTGGGGAGCACATGAAGAAGCCTGTGATGTCCTCAAGTGAGAACAAAACAACACTTTCTTAACTCAGTTGTTTCTGGCAGGGAGGGCTGTCTACATTTAGATTTGTCAAAAGAAAGTCCTCGGGCTGTTTCTGCCAGTGACAGGTTAGCAATGTCAGCAGCTGTGATGGCACAAACAGACGTCAGATGAAAAAAGTCGATTCCAAATGTTGCATTTTTAACCACGGAGGAACAATATTTCGCCCTGAGCTCAAAGGAAGAATATCTCGTAGTTTTCAACTTCTGCAAATGCCACGAGCTTAAAAAAATTCCGTATTACTTTTTTCTTTTTCTTTTTTTAAAGGAGTCAAAAGTCATTACGGTGTCAGCAAGAGTTGGCTACATGCTGTCATATTAAATTAAGGTAAAGAGAGGAAGGTTTTCTGTGATGTCGAATGTTTATGATGTGGACCGTTCAAGTCAGTTCCTGTGCCCTCGCGACTTCTTTGTCTCCTTCAACAAAACCGTCAGCAAAACACTGTTGATGTCTTTCACCTTTGAAAGCAAGTGTTTCTCCACAAGTGTTTCAAAGTGGTCATTTGATAGAACATGTCCGACTAATGGACTGGCTGAATCAGCATGGCCGAGTATGCTGTTGGCTCAGCGCCGCTCTTTTGCCCATTTATTTTTTCTTTTAATTTATCACCAGCTCATCAACCTAATCTTTACTCTCAGGACACATTTTATAACTAGGGTCCCCAAACAGTTTTTATGGCTGACAAATAGCGAGTACATTATGATAATCACTGTCAGTAACCCCCATCAGTAATCGCTATTATCTTAGGCAAACCCTTTCCCTTTCTCTAGACCCTTGATGGCAGAGTTCCAGTCTCACCTCTCTTATAAATAGCATCTGTCAAAAAAAAACACGTGGTTTGCTTTCACTCGCTGGATTTTGACATGACTCAAATATAAGGGACAGTTTAAAAAAAAAAATAGAAAGCTTTTTATACTTAACTAGAAACAGCAGTTCATATTCAATCACTGAAGCTAAGCACTCAAGCGTGTGTGGGTGGGGGGTGGGGGGCGTATTTTTGTGTGCATGCATGCCTGTGGATGTGCGTGAAAGCCACACCCATAAATTCTGAAGTCAGCCATTCACTGAGTGAGAAGGATCCAGTCAAGCAAAGTAACCTCTATCTAAATGTATAGGACTCTAGAATAGCAGTGTTTATTTTAGCTTTTTCTGGGTTTTTGACTATTGAACTTGGCTGCACAGGCAGCACACGTTTTTTGCTTGTGGGTGTGGCATCTTGAGACAAAGAACGTTCATTATTCATAGCCATCGTCAGCTCTGGAGGCCACTTATACTCTCTCTCTCTTTCTGTCTCGCTCTATCTACTCTCATTGTCTCTTAGCATAGCATCTACCTGGCTCTCTGTGTGCTGATGGCACCTCAAGACACACACGCCCATAATCTGAGCACACATGATGCAAACGGGTAGAATTTTAACACGCATCAACATGTGCCCATACGTTGTGCAGGCGTGCACCGGTGTGTGCTTTTGCACATGCAGCAGCACACACACACACACACATAACCCATGAACACTCAGACTGCCTCCTCAGTAGCAATTCGATGGCTCTGATACGTGGAAGTTTTACAACTGACAGATAAAACCAGAGAGGAAAAATTGTAAAAGGACACCGTGCACTGTAACATGCAGCTACTCTGACAAAGCACACACACACACACACACACACTTTCACTGAGACAGACAGACACTGCTATGCATCTTAACAATCTGGATAGGATTTTGCCGAAAGACTTTTGTCATGTGAAGCTGCACGGGTTGTGCTGGGAATCCGCAGAGGTACAGCAGGAGTGCTAGTGAGCCAGAGCTTCAGGCTCTTGCTATCGAATGCTATTGCAGCCCCCTCCCACCACCACCACCACCACCAAGGATAAAAGTAGCGGTGGAAGTGGAGGATGAGTCTTCCAGCTGTTAAATTTCTCCAAGCTTTTTGATTTGCTTTCCAGCATCTGCAAGTCTCAGGTGGCAGATTCCCCAGTTTATGAGCCCTCGCGTAGCATCTCGCTTTGTGGCCCGGCAAACCTGATTTCTTTTTGTAGGTTTTGTTTTTGGTAGCTTTTCCTAACAAATTCATTTTAAGGCACTTTTGTCAGTTCAGTGAGTGGAGAAGAAAAGTCTTAACACACCTCAGAGTGTCAGCAGCACCCTCAATATCATCCTTAAAAATAGTAACCATCAGCACTATATATTGTCTTGTTATCAACACTTGGCGCTGCAGTAAAATCATCAATGACTATCCTGTGTTACATGAAAGGAGAATGAATCTCATGTAGCCACAATGTTTTATGTTCTATTAGGCAGTTTTATTTATTATTAAAGCTGTTAAGCAGGGTGAGTTGTGGTTTGGCCTTGTCTCTGAGTATAAGAGAATGTGATGTATTATTACTTATAGGAGGAGAAATGAATGGGGCTTGATTCAACCTCAAGGGGAAGGTAGTGACGACAAAGAAAGAAGGCGAAGGTACCTGCATGTCATAGAGGATTGAGCTGATGAACGGGAATGCTTTGCTTTGATGTAACATAACTAGTAATCGGCTAAAAATGAATACAAAAAAAATGTTTGAAAAAAAATCTAAAATTGTAAATATATACTCACAAAGATTTTATGAAGCTTTATTTTTGTCTTCTTCTTTGTTTGGAAATTTTCACCCATGTACTTTGCACTTCTTTCTGTGCTACGCCCATCATCATCTGGCCTGTGCGAAATCTTTGTGGTTGGCTGTTTCTCTTGACTGCATAGTTTTGATGTCGGGAGGGGACAGGCTCAGCACGGCTTTACTAAAGTGAAAAGTAAGACACCTTTGTTTACTTTACTTTCATCCGTTTTTCTCCGATGTGGCTTCTCTTTGGTTCTGTAAAACAATCTAGAATCTTTCTGTTGTTCTTTTTCTTTTCGTTTGATGAAAACACTCCATGTAAATATCACAAGTAAAAAATGTATATTTTTACGACCTCTGAGTTATTACTCTTTCATTTGCAAATAAAATATTCAATGACAACTTAACTGTTCTCGTGACCCCTTGATTTAAAGGTTCAGCCGGGTAGTCTTTATTTTACAGTGCAGTAATGACTTTTTCTATATTGCGCACCAGCCGTGTTTCTGCTGACGCCAGTTTGAGAAGAGTATCAAAGGCAAGGTCACACATTCACTGCGTAAAAACCATGTGCATTCACAGACCAGTCTTCCTTTGAGATTCTATATTCACATAACCCAAATATGACACTTACCAAAAAGTATTGCCAGCCACATTGTGAGAGAATTCAGAACCTGGAAGGTTTTGCTTGCTTAAAAATGTAGCAAACATGAAAGTGATTGTCGTATAGTTTAAGCATTCATCTCATTCCATGACTCTGCTTACAAGCTGAACATGATCATTATGTGGAATGTTGTAACTTAAGTGAACTGAATATTAACTTATCAAACCAAAGACAGCAAAAAGTCTACCAGGATAAAGATTGGTCATGTATAGGTCATCAGGACTTAAAAAGCATACGTTTTCTAATGATTGCTGTGGACAGGTGTGACTTCCCATTCCTATTCTGTTGCAGCTGACCATATTTCGTTGTTTATTACCACTATATTAAGTAAAGAATATGATTAACGTTTTTTCCAGCTATCGTTTTGCATTAACATCATGAAAGAAAAAGATTCCTTGATCCCATTTTTGCATGTCTGGATATTGACCAGAGAGGAAGCAAGAAGCTGTGATCAAACATTTTTTTAAATCATTCCCAAAAATAATTTCCATTCCAGGTCATATTCAACTGCAGCAACATCCAGCGTTAGTTGTACTATGTATAGACTTTTCTGCAATATTAGAAGAATCCCAACTAAGCAAAAGATTCAAGTGTACAGGGACATAGATTATTATTGTTATTATTACCTATTCTACTATTCTTACTTTTGGTCTCTGTAAACAAATGTTTAGTGGAATTGTGTTCTGGGTTGCTGCTTCCATGGTGAATTAAAGTGTATATGGTTCTCTTTATGGAAATGATGGCTTGGCTACAAGTAAATTAGAGAAGAATTTGCTTTAAAGCTGAGCTGTGTTTCCTTTATCCAGAGGGAGGGTATAGGCTGCTTCTACCTAAGATACGCTCAGTCACACTCAAAGAGCACAATAGAAGAGAATGAAATAGGAAAGAATAAGCGTAGACAATTTCCTGTTCATGGGTTGCAGGTTATGTCCCATGTGCACTACCCTTCACAGAACAATTGCAAGGATGGTGTTTGCATCCCACAATTTCTAACCATGGATTATGTCCTGGCGTGATTGTACATTAGACACTTACATGTACATACTTATTTCCCGCTTCCTGCTGGGACCAGGCTATGATGTATTAGCTATCTTTGTTCATGGTGTTCCTGTGTTTCTCTGAAAGCCCACAGTATGCTTTCAAAAATAGCCAGCAGGGATTTTTGCTATTTACTTTATGTTGTGTGTAGAGTGTCACCCAGCTCAGCTGGAGGAGATTTGAGCATATGCTGTTTGCCTAAAACAGAATAGACTTTGCTCCTGGATAAGAGATCACTCTGTCGTGAACAGATCAGCCTCTGAGAACACTTCTATCACGTCTGTGATAATTCTATTGATAACACATTTACACTTTCTTTGTTCGTTAGTATATTCCAAAAATCCTAATATTATTCTTCATAGTTGTGAACGAGCTTGTCAATAGCCAAAGCCCTCGGCTAAAGATGATGCATGAGGCAGACAGCTCCTTCTCCTTTCTTCTCAAAAGTCTATCTGCTCAGCCTCTCAACGTGATACTGTCACTCCTGGCAACAAGGTCAGGGATATCTATTGACCTGACAGCCACTTATTGACTAACATTCATCTCTTCCTTCTGAAAAGTCCGTCTTATGTTGACAATCTATTGAACTGCCAAGATGGAGAGTCTTTGTCAACCCATGGTAAAGAGGAGAGGGGGTGACTTCAAGGGCACACACCAAACATAGGGATGAAGTCCTAAAATTGTGAATAACCCACTCAGTTAAGTCGCATGATCAAGCCATGAAGGATAATACAATTAACAATGTGTTCTCTGACATCTGTTCGCTATTGGGCTGACTGCTAACGGCTTGCTAAATTTACATCTTTTCAAAACACTGCATCCATATTAAGCAGGATCAAATTTTCAAGGCCAGCTCACATTTCTCCACCCCCTGTTTCATGTCTCTGTTCCAATGGTTCCACATGATTAGCCATGTGTGATGACAATGTCACAATCCCATCTCAATGCCATACCCACACACACTCACATTACACGTGTGCGCTACTTTCATTTCACGCTAGTGACAGACCGGACAATCAAAAAAAGTCACTTACTGGTGTTACATATTGTAGGTATTATTCCCACACACATCTCTACCACTTTCGTAATACGAATGCAATAGTTATAAATTATGTGGCACTTATAATACAGTGAAGGACATAAAACATTTTTGACCGTGCAATTCTACCCTGATGAGATCCATTCACATTCGTCTTTTTTTATGCACAGCATTAAATAAAGTATAAATTCATTGAAAATATTCAAAGATGGAACGAAAGGTAAATGCACCTTTTGGTCTTATTCCCTCATTTCCATTAAATGTGGCAGGCTTTGTTATGTTACAGTTAAAAAGTCTAACTCTGTCATTTGTGAGATTGTTTGAGTCTGTACTGCGTAAATAAGAGTGGGAGTCATAAAAGGTTATGTAAAATACAACATTCTTGAAGATTCCATAATTAGCAGATGATTAGTGTCAGGTGAGGGTGCCAGGATTGGGTATAAAACAAGTTTCCGCCAACGGCAGAAAACCTTCCAAGCAAAGATGGGTCATTGCTCAATATGCTGGACAGATTTTTTAACTAAAAGTATTTTTGGATTCGAAATTGGCAAAAATGCCAAAAATGAGAAAGATGACTCTGGCTGTGGTTAGCTGCTGTAGGTAGCTTTTCATGCTTCTGTTGCAGCAGCAGTATCCATGTCAGTGTCCCTGGCAAGTATTACCTTTTGGCAGGATGATGCCACTGATGCAGTGATTCCTCCACAAATTATCCTGAACTCTTTGGAGACCTATTGCATGTTACCATTAAAAACATCCATCTTTTTTCCACAAGTTATGACTCTGTCTATATGGTATGTCGTTGCAAAAACCTCACTCTGCTTACAGCAGTATATCTTCAGACCTTCACGTGTGTGTGCACTGCTGACCTTCCTGTGGTCCAGATCTATTTCTTTGGACAATTTATGATGAGACTGACCAAGTATTTATGAGCCGCTGAAGCATATTATTCAGTCGGAATGCGAAGAGATTCTTCTTCCAGAAAAGAAAAACAAACATATAGCGTCGTTGGTTATCAGATTATCAAACGGTTTAATATAATTAAAGGTGGTGTAACATGATACTGTCATAATTTGTTTAAAGGTAGAGGGAAATTCACCATATCTACAACAAAGGTTTAAGATCAGAGCTGACAATGCATTTGTATGTATATATAGATAGATGAATAAAAAGGCAGATACTTTTTCTCAGAATGTACGAACTCTGTAACTTGCGCTCTAATTAGCTAAAATAGAAAGGTGATGAAATATGTCACTACAGATAAGGCATATTTGGTCTCTTAGGAGGCTTTGAAGCCTGATTAATACCAATTCATGATTTGTTCTTCGTCTCCCTCTATAATCTGCTGAGTAATTAACTGTAGATTGCCATACAAAGCCTTCATAATTGAATTCATTTAAATAATTGCACCCCCTGGTGTTGATCGAAGATAGCTTTACTTTTATCTTTTAATGCTGATAGGATCGTAATATGATGAGTGAAATCGTTAATCTCACATGACACATCATCGGTTGGGATTTGTGATCAGAGGT